ACATACATACATACATACACACACACACACACACACACAACACACACATACATCCATTTTTTCTAAGGTATGCCAAAATGTTAAGAAACCTCTGAAACGTAAAGATATATAAAAATTTTCATTTTCGATTTTTTTGCGATTACTATAACTTACCCTACGGGAAGTTAAATATAAATATGTACAAGTGCATACTTTAATTGTACTGTAACTAAACTAAATATGTACAGACATAATATACTTGATGTCTGTTCATATTTAGTTACTGTACAATTAAAATATGCACTTGTACATATTTATATTTATCAGTTTTTATTTATCACACGTATTTATTAATGGACAAAACAATAGAAAGTTCTTACTACATCAGTCTTTAATTATGGACTTGGCATTCACTTTTAGAGGAATTAGATCAATTTACTAATTTTGGAAATAATTTAAATTATATATTTTGATTAAAAAATGTACTCACTGTAAAGGAACACACACGGTCCTGTGCACCAAAAGTCCGATGATAAAATGAGCCAAGGCTACAACGGCCAACACGATAGTAAATAGGAACATAATTGCAACGCCCCTTGAACAAGGAAAAAAATAGTATTAGATATTTATTATATAAAATATAAAATATAAATAACATGCAGATTATAATAAAATTGTAATTTGTTTTTATCAATAACATTCTGTTATTTTATAAGACTGCTCAAACACAGAGAACTAATGGGTGGAGAGCCTACAACTCATAATCATAATACGTTTTGAGCTTTTATATCAAGGCTTGCTATGTTTGCAAAATTCCTATTTCAATTCTACGAAGTTTTTCGATGTTTACGTCATACAGATGCAAACACAAAAGTAAGTAAACAAATTTGTACTTGCATTTGAATTAGTTTGCGAAATCATTGACCTCACTAAATTCAAGTGTTTGTGACCCAAACCTTTTAGAAAAAAGCTAATCCTTTTTTAACTTATTTATAATAACGAAAACTATGCAATCAGATTCTCAAAATATATTTAATTTTTCTGTTGCAATTTCTTAAATATAATTGGCGTTTATGTAGATAAATAAATGAATATGCATTTTGAACAAATATCAAATTGTTTTCAAAAATAACAATATATGTATTATAAATAGTAAAGTGTAGTACACATTGTTATAGTTATCAGTTTAATATTATTGAAAGAGACACCCAACAAACGAACACAAAATGGGTACGAAATTTAAACAATAAATAGTTGTAGAGTAGTTTAACAAATTAACCCCAAAAATGTGATTGATATTTTAGACAAATAATGTCATTATTAACGTCTATATAATGAACATGCCGAAGGGAACAAAAACCTATAATTCAGTTTATTACAAATTAATATCAAAACAAATGTCCATTATAAAGTATCCATATAGACGGCTCATATAAATAAGAAAAAATGTGTAAATGTATCATATAAATAAGATAAAATATGTAAAAACAAAATTGAAATGTATAAATCATCAAATAAAAATTCGACTGCAAAATGTATTTCAATAAAGGTGTGAAACACTTCATACTTTTCTTCATTTTAGAATAAAAAAATTATAAAATAAAAATGATTAAGAATGTTAAAAAATAAAACAAAAAATATTAGTTATTTTTTTCTTACCACATAAGGAAGGAACTACCGGCGCCTTTATTACAGCAATCGTCACCATATCCATCTGGCCTTTTGCCACAAATGCCACATAATAATCCAAAACTAACACACAATAAGACCTGCAAAATTAAAAAATATATATACCTATAATACTTTCAAATAGGACTATCTAAAACTCAAATACAATCAAAAAAACTTACATAACGTGTTGTTTTAAATATATAAATTGATACCACTTTTTCCTCGAAGAAAATCAAGAAACAATGACTTCACCAAGAATGTATTGGTATGATAATTCAAATAAAATTATACATAAAAAACTATATTCTCATTTTAGGATTTCAAAAATGAATTATATATTGATTGAAATATATATTGATTTAATCCGATATGCTTATAAATATAAGCAGATTATCTAGAGTAGGCAATGATGGGATTTAAATCCAGTTTTGCTTATCATTTTGACGTATGTTTATGTATGAATAAAATTTAAATATGAATCTAGAAAGATCAATTTTACTATAACAAATAGCATTTATCAGAGGGAACAAAAAATAACAAGCATTTGTAAAAAAAAAGGGTTACAAAAATTTGTAATACTTCTTGACTAAGTTTAATAACTCAAATATATAAAAAAATAAATTCACGTTTACAAAATCAATAATTTTAAAAATAATTCCAAGTATACAAAACGTAGTTCAAAATTACATATTAAAAACAACGAAAATTATTATTAAAAAATAGTTTTGAAGAAAATATATATCACATATTTGAACTGTTATTGACGAGAGTATATTTGACAATTGTTGATTAAACGTCGCATAAGTTGTTAGGAAAATAAAAATGAAGCTATTACAAAATTCATTCAAATATTTTAATTTCTTCATTTACTTAAATTTGCATTATGAGATACTTTAAGTTAATCAATCATTTATTTACTACACAATTAAATTGAATCAGAATATTTAAGAAGAAAAGTGTTAGATTGACCAATACTGAATAAAACAATTCATAAATAAATATTTGTATAAAATTATATAAAACATACTATAAAATATTACACAACAGTTTGCAATTTAAATCAGGAGAACGCTAGTAGCAGATAAAATTGTACAAGGATTTAATATAATAACGGCATTTGGAGTTAATATTTCAAACATATATTTATTTTTAATTTTGTAGTATCGAAATTAATTAAATAATCCTTCTATTATCTATTGCTAATAGGTGTAAGTAAACCAAAACCATTATTTTTTTAAATGTTATAGAGACTTTAAATGTCATAATTAAGAATTTCAGTGATGAATGCACACAAGGGATAAGAATTCTAACTTGAAGTACTAAACTGAGCTTTCTAGAAAATACATATATACAATATATTACAGTTTTTAGTTAATATGCCTGAAGAAGAAAAGAAAGGTGATAAAAAAATAGATCATTTAGAATTTTAAAGCGAAAACGGTTACAAGTTGACTTGCAGGGAGACGGCGAAAATTGTTGTATGCTTCCTGATGTCAAGAAGTTTTATTGTGTATTTGGTATTTTTGGCAGAAAACTATTTGCTACTACTCCATAAAAACTCGAGTATGTACTTTGAGCTATAAGACCGCCCAAAGAAATCAATCGCAAAAGATCGACTTGATATATATAGCTAAGAAAAGGACACCAGTAAAATTAGGACATGATATTTGATTCTGGGAAAACTTCGTTGGTTTGGTTAGGAAATTAATCCACCTTAATCCCGTTCCTAACCAATTACCATGTGATTTTATACATGACAAATAATTACTGATAAAAAATTTGGTTGGACTTAAAAACAAAAATAACGTAAAGAAAACACTGTATGAATTTTGTGATAAAGACGACAAATTCTAATAAGGAACAGATCATGATAAAAGACCCTTCAAAATTGTATATCTAAATCCAATGAAATGAATACTGTATTCAATGGAGCTTTTAAATAATAAATGAAGAAATACTTTCTCAAATTATTAATTTGAACAATATTACACATATATGAGTAAGATTCTGTAAAATATTTTAAAGATAAAAAATTAATTCCAATATATAATTAAAGTTAAAATTTAAAATAATAATAAAACAAATTATAATTTATTTAAAAAAATTCAAAATATTCATTTCAAATTCATTGAGATAACTCATTGCAATACCCAAGCTCGAAAATGGTTCAGTGCAATAAGAAATTTATTAAGACGTATTATAATTAACAAGGTGAATATAATAAATTTTTGGTAGTCTCAAAGATATTACATATATAAACGAAAAAGATCATTTATGTTCCCGTCATTTATGCACAATCGATATATACAGAGAAATTTTCAATAGTT